TTTGGGGTTTTCTAGATAAATTTTTAAAAACAATACCAAATATAAATATTTAAAAAAATTAGAGGCCTATTATTATAAAAACTGATTAAACTATGAGTCTTTCTTAATATTAATTAATTTAAAATTTTTGGGGGCTAGAGGCTTATGTTTCATTTCGCTGGGTCTAGAACCGACCTTGGTTAGGATTTAAACCACTTCCATCCATGATTTTTAAGAGTGTTTCTACAAATATCTTAAAAAATAAATAGTAATATAATATTGTATAAGTTTTTTAAAATTAAGAAACTCACCATCCAAAGTTTCTTAAACAATATATTTAAAAACCTTCTCTCTATTTTTAGAATCCCATAATTATTTATTAATATTTTTTATACTTAAATATTATATTTTAGTGTTTACAACTTTTGTAAGAACTCCACTGAAAGTGGTTTTAGGAGGGGGTTTCTTGGGTGTTCAAAGATGCTCTAGGCTGTGCGAAAATGCATAGTTGATAGTACCCTTTCAAATGTAGGGTCTTTGGAAGGATGTAAATTATTTAGTATTTCATATGGGCAATGGAGAGTGTGAAGTATCATCAGGCCGTGCCAAGCTATTTGCGACCTAAGGCAAAATTTTTTTTTTTTCATGTATTTTCAAAGTTTTTGTCAATAATGTATTAGATTTTTATTTATGTTTATGAATAAAATAGTATAGACAAAATATACAGATAAATAATGTTTTTTTACCTTGTTAAATTAGCTTATTGATAAAATTCTCTAATAAAAATGAGATAATTTTTCAAACATCACAATTCTACACTTTTCTTCCTCCCTCGCGGTCAGTTTTTGTTGTCTCTCTCTATCGACAGTTGTCATGTATTTGACCTCGACATCTCTCGACAGATTGATGGTAGAATCGTGTCGGATATTGGACTTGGTCTCTTGATTATTGTGACAAATGTTCAAAAGGATACATGACAGTAAGTGATCACTTTGAGCAACAACTATGCAAAATCTTGCACCTTTGTTATGAAAAAGTTTGTGAAGAATAAGGTAGCATAACTTACCAACTATATTTGATTTTTTATGTATAAATATTATGACAGACTAATATAGTTCTATAAATCATTTAGGTCCCAAAATATAGAACTTGTGCTCTCTGATAATTTTTTTTCCTAACTTTCTTCCAGTTAAGGAGAGGATGCGATATTGGGTATGATGTTTTGTGGTTATGAACCATATTCACTCGAAATCACTCAATTCTAGTTATTCCATAAGAGAAAGTATACATAAAATGCACCATCAAATATTTTTTAAAAAGAATTTGTTTATTCACTCAGTGTGTTTTCACTTTCCAGATTGCAAATGAATTGTGGTATTGCCTGACGGTCCTACCCATTTGGGAGAAAGCTAATATCTGATTTGCTTACTTTTAGTCTTGAGTGAATCAGTTGTTATTTCCATTTTGTTTCGATGTCTGTCTTCTTCGTTTCTTACATATTACTTTTGATATTATAGAGACACAAATCATAAGTGGAGGTTGATTATACCTACGACACTGGCAACCCTCTTTGGAGTTCTCTAGAGGTGATTCTCATTATTCTTTTTATAATTTTTGTTTGCATTTTATTAGAAGTGAGAGATCAAAACCACGAAAGAGAATATGAAGAAGTGATGTCTTAGTAGTTTTATTTTTTTTATGGCTTTTGCGTGATTTGTGTACATTATTTATATGCTTTGTATTATGGGTTGGTTTATTTTATGAGATCACATATTTTGAAGTAATTTTGACGTGAAAACTTGTGTTTCCAAAATGAAAAACTCAGAGATGGTTTTGGAGACTTTACAATCCTATATGGAATCGTTAGACCATTAAGTGAAAACTATATATTGTTATGTGTTTGAACTCATAAATTCTACCCTTTCTAACACATTCAAACAAAAAACAAATCACTAAAATACATAATAATTCTTAAAGTTTTTCACTTCTTTTAAAATCTTATAAATATTAAAACAATTTTTTTCAAGTTAAAACTATACCTTGAGAAAGAAGAAGAAGAACGATGCATATTTAATATTTATAAATGATATATCGTGTAATTAAATATCAAAATTAATGTAATTCGCTAAAAAGTTTCATACCCGCACACGATGCGGGCCGATCACCTAATTCTCTAATAAAATGAGATAATTCTTCAAACATCATGTGTCGGAACTCTAATAAAAATGAGATA